TTAGGGAGTGAATGGGAAAGACCCAGGGGCCATGGATTAGGTGAATAGCCAGACTGGTTCTTATTATTGTACAAGTGGATTTCGGGGTGTGATCATGTATTTCCTATTCATGCATTTAGAACTTCTAGAACCAAGTCTTCTCCTTCCTGTGTCTTATTTCTCTTTTGCATCTTATTTTCCTTTCTTCCTAAGAAAACTTTTTACTCTAATTCCATAGGAGATGTAGCAACCAGATTCGTTTTTTTTTTTTTTTTTTTTTTTATAAATTTTATTTTTATATTCCCCATACAATTGCAGCCCCCCCATTCTGACCCCAATCCCTCCCCTCCCGCCCCCGCCCCCCTAAAAGTGTCTCTGGTTCATAGTTTTTTGTTGATTTTGATTTTCACTTTCTTATAGTTATTCATTTTCCTGGTCCCTTATTTAAGTTTTCTAGATTCCTGCTATGAGTGAGACCATCCGGTATTTTTCTTTTTCTTTTTGGCTTATTTCGCTGAGCATGATCCCTTCCAGCGCCATCCATGTTGCTGCAAATTGCATGTGTTTATCTTTTTTGAATGCTGAGTAATATTCCATGGTATATATGTACCACATCTTCTTGATCCAGTCATCTATTTTTGGGCATTTGGGTTGTTTCCAAAGCTTAGCTATTGTAAACAGTGCTGCTATAAACATAGGAGTGCAGGTGTTCTTTGGAATTGATGTTTCTGTGTCCTTTGGGTAAATACCTAGGAGTGGAATTGCTGGATCATATGGAAGCTCTATGTTTAGTAGGTCCAGAAATCTCCACACAGCTCTCCACAGTGGTTGGACCAGTTTGCACTCCCACCAACAGTGCAGAAGAGTTCCTTTTTCTCCACACCCTCGCCAGCATTTGTTGTTGCTAGTTTTTTTAATATGTGCCATTCTCACTGGTGTAAGATGGTATCTCATGGTAGTTTTGATTTGCATTTCCCTGATGGCAAGTGATGTTGAACATTTTTTCATATGCCTGTTGGCCATTTGCATTTCCTCTTCAGAGAAGTTTCTTTTTAGCTCTTCTGCCCATTTTTTGACTGGATTATTTTCTTTGTTGTTGCTGAGTCTCATCAGCTCTTTGCAGATTTTTGTGATCAGTCCTTTATCATTAGTGTTGGGTGCAAAAATGTTCTCCCAGTTGGTGGGGTTTCTCTTTGTTTTTGTTATTGTCTCTTTTGCTGTGCAGAAGCTCTTTAATTTGATGTAGTCCCAGCTGTTTATCTTTGCCTTCACTATCACTGCTTTGGGTGATGTGTCTGTAAAGATGTCTTTGATGTGCAAATCACGTAGTGTTTCGCCTATATTTCCTTCTATATATTTTATGGTTTCAGGTCTTATGTCTAGTTCTTTAATCCATTTTGAGTTGATTTTTGTGTATGGTGTGAGGTAGTGGTCAAGCTTCATTCTTTTGCATGTAGCGACCCAGTTTTCCCAGCACCATTTATTGAACAAACTTTCTTTGCTCCAATGCATAGTCTTTGCTCCTTTGTCAAAGATTAGTTGACCATAAATCTGTGGATTTATTTCTGGATTTTCTATTCGATTCCATTGGTCTGTATGTCTGTTCTTGTTCCAATACCATGCAGTTTTGATGATTATGGCTTTGTAGTATAGTTTGAAGTCTGGGAGTGTAATGCCTCCATTCCCTTCTTTCTTTTTCAGGAGAGCTTTGGCTATTCGGGGTTTTTTGTGATTCCATATGAATTTCATCAATAATTGTTCTATTTCTTTGAAGAATGACATTGAAATTTTGATTGGAATAGCATTGAATCTGTATATTGCTTTTGGAAGGATGGCCATTTTAATAATGTTTATTCTTCCAATCCACGAGCAGGGGATGTCTCTCCATTTCTTTGTGTCTTCTTCTATTTCTTTTAACAGTGTTTTATAGTTTTCTTTGTATAGGTCCTTTATCTCTTTTGTTAGATTTATTCCCAAATATTTGATTTTTTTTGTTTCAATAACAAAAGGGATGGTTTTTTTGATTTCTTCTTCTTCAGATTTATTGTTTGTGTATAGGAAGGCTACTGACTTTTGCGTGTTGATTTTGTATCCTGCCACTTTACTGAACTGATTGATGAGTTGAATTAGCTTTTCTGTGGAGTTTTTGGGGTTCTCTATGTATAATATCATATCGTCTGCAAATAGTGATAGTTTGACTTCTTCTTTTCCTATTTGGATTCCTTGGATGTCTTTCTCTTGTCTTATTGCCCTGGCTAGGACTTCCAGTATTATATTGAAAAGCAGTGGTGAGAGTGGACATCCTTGTCTTGTTCCAGATCTTAATGGAATTGCTTTCAGCTTTTCACCATTGAGAATGATGCTGGCTGTTGGCTTGTCATAGATGGCCTTTATGATGTTGAGGTATGTTCCTTGTATCCCAAGAATTTCAAGGGATTTTATCATGAATGGGTGTTGCACTTTGTCGAAAGCTTTCTCAGCATCTATTGATATTATCATATGGTTTTTATATTTCTTTTTGTTGATGTGTTGGATAACGTTGATTGATTTTCGGATGTTAAACCATCCTTGTGCCCCTGGAATGAATCCTACTTGATACATTGTTGGATTCTGATGGCTAAAATTTTATTGAGGATTTTTGCATCAGTGTTCATTAGGGAGATTGGCCTGTAGTTTTCCTTTTTAGTGAGCAACCAGATTCGTTTTAAAGGCAGCCTGTCTCCGCAAATTTCAAGCCAATTGTGAATACTATGTTAAAAGGTCTGTTTGTTGGGGGAAGTAGAAAAGCTGGCAGATTTCTGCTACTTGACTGTGAGTCCTTTTGGTGGGAGAAAAAGGAGAAATACGAGAAATACCGACCTATGTTTTTGACACATGCTCCTGCACCAACTTGGCCTTGTTAAGGGAATAAGAGCAGTGGTATTGACTATTTTTTTCTCTAGAGCAAAAGTCAACACCGTTGCCTACATGGAGAATCAGAACCGAGAAAATGTCAGATGCTCATGTGCTACTTGTAAATATGCCATTTAAAACATTTAGTTTAGGAAGCCACAGAACTGCTCAGGTTGAAGCGTTATACGGAGTCCCTTAGGACAAATAGCACAGAGCTGGGCAGAGGGAATTCTAGACGTATTTATGGATTTATTCATAGATTCCCTCCCAACTTTCCTGTCACTCCTTTTTTTTTTTCTTTTTATTGAAAACTTTTTTTTTTCTTTTATGCAAGTCAATTCTAAATGCTTTCCCTTCTGAAACGTTCTTCAATGCAATTTTTTTTTTTCAGAACTGCTTGATGAAATGTTTCCCTATTGTTTCTGAGGTTCTTGTTTTGGCTCAATGTCTTCAGTCTTCCTCTGGGAAGAATTTCCTGTTCTTACCTCTGGATTAAGAGCTGATTGTAGTAGCAGATCCAGTAAAACAAGGTTAAGTGAGCTGAGCCTGCTTGTGGGTCAGGAATTGTAAAAGGGCTCAGCTGGGTGATTCTTTGCTCCTGTGGCCCTGGTTAAGGTCATCAGTGGGTGGCATTTGGTGGGCAGCTGGGCTGGTTTGGAAGGTGCAAAAAAGCTTGACTCACAGGGCCAGCCCTCCTACTCCCCCACATGGCCTTCTCTCTGTCCTTGTCTCCCCCTCTCCACTTGGTAGGCTCACCTGGCCTTTTTCACAGCATGGTGGCTGGCTTCCAGATGGAGAGAGTGCAAGCTGCTAGTCCTGTGAAGCTTTGGTTGGAGATTCCAAAACATTATTCTACATTTCATTGGTCCACATAAGTCACAGAACCAGTCCAGATGCAAGGAGAGGAAAAATAGACTCCATTTCTTGGAAGACAAAGGCTCTGTGGCCATTTTAATCCTTAGTAATAGATGCTAGTAATTCTGGTTCTATGCTTGAACTACATGTTTTGTATTTTATTCCTGTATTCTTATATAAATTTATCCTCTTTATATCTTCCAAACAAAAGAAGATTTGGAAACTTTCCCAGCAGTGAGTTATAAAACCATGCCTTTATTTACCTTTGGGAAGTTTGTTTTTTCTACACATAAATACATTACATACATATTATAAGTACATACATATTAGTACATATTATATGTATTATAAGTACATACATATTATATATATATATATATATTTATATATTAAGCCAAAAGAAAATTTTAGCTGGTTTCTAGTACAGAGACGCCATTGCACCTGCCCAGTTATTTATTTGTTAAGGATTATTTTCAAGGAGCTTTACTATGGTAAAAATTTAACTAACATAATCTGTTCAAGACAAAATGTTTTGGGCCTCCCTGGTGGCACAAGGGGTTAAGACGCAACTTATGAAGCTCACTGCAGCCACTGCAGCACAAGTTCGATCCGCAGCCAGGGAGTTACACACATGGCGCAACAGATCTCTCCTGACTCGCCTGCTGCTCCCCTCAGCAGTGTATTTTCAGTCAGTCTGCCTGTTATGTTCCCCACTCTGTCTCTGGTGAATCCTTTCCACCCCTCACGACTATGGCCTGTACCCCAGTTCTTGTGTATATAAATAAATAAATCTTTAAAAAGTGACAAAATATTTCATAGTGTGGGTATGTTATACTATCATGTGCAAGTTAAAGTGAAAATAGACTTCTGTGACATATATTGAACAGAAAAATAAAGGGTATAGAAACTTAACTAGGTTTCCTTGTACAAGGCATATTGCTTAAGTCAAGGGAAAAAGATTGGAATGAAAATCAGTATTGCATTTTGGGAAATGCTCTGCAAGGAAAGAACTGTTACTAGGGCTGCTGAGTGAATTTTGTTTACTTCAATTCAACATTTCATCAAGCAAATCATGTGAAAAAGAAGAAGTATAAATGCATCTATTGATGTAGGTGATTTTTCTGTTTCATGCCTCTGATTTATCTCTGTGCCTTGCTTTATGGGGAGTCATGCTACATTGGTTACAATTAATTTCAGTGCTGCATATTAGCCATAAAGAAACTTTCATAAATTGACCTGCTGTATTTTTTTTTCTCCTCTCATTTTCTTGAAAGATGAGAATGTTCCAGAGGAAAAACAAAGTACAGAAGAAATGGAAGGACAGAGTCAAGAAGCAGGTGGGCTCAGATTTCTTTTGAGGAGTCTCCTAGGCCTCATCCACAGAGGTGAACAATGACTTTACTCAACCATGTTTTCTGAAAATGCTCATACCTTGTCATCAGGTTCACTTCAGTGTTCATTCAGGTCTCCCTCAGGAAGTTGCCGGCTGTATTAACTATAAGTGACAGTGCTTCCAATCAGAGGGCACAATCTCATCTCTCATCCACCAATTCCATTTTTTGTCCATGTAATAACAGTTAGCTAAGTAATGCTCTACGAGGGACTGGCAGAGGTTAAAAGAGCCAAATCAGCACTTGGCTCACATAAGATGAGTTACAATTAGCAGATTTATTTTGGGGGGAAAAATGAAGTGCAAAACATTTAAAGGAAACTGACAAGAGACTTTCTGGCACAAGAAGTGGAGTGTTCCTTACTGTACTGCATTACATTTTATAGCATCATGTTTCTGGTTATTTCTTTGCGTTATGTTTTAGGAGGTACTGTCACAGAATCCACCCACACCACATAGAGACCTGTAAGTGAGAGTTACAGGCTTTCTGACTTTTGACATCTATTTACTAAAGAACAGATGTTTCCACAGACTGTTTAAAGAGTCTCCACTGTAGATTATTAATTGAACATTTTAAAATAAAATAGCACTTAAGACTCAAAGGAGATTGGCATCACCTTTGATTTATCATCTCTTCCTGCAATTTTTATACTAGGGCATGATCTCCTCAAAAGAATGATAGGTAAAAGTATGCACTTATCAATACAACTATCAAAATGAGATTCCTCCTTCCACTCAGTTTCTGAGTCATTCTAGTTCTAATGAGTCCCGTAGAGAGGCTTTTTCAAGCTGGTGGGCTCTGCCTATGTGCCAGCCATGCCCTAGGTCACATGCTGAGTTTCTGGAAATAAATCAGGTAGTATGATAAGTTTTCACTGAAAACTCCCTGAATTAACCTTGGAACTTTTGCTAGAGAAATGGAAGCTTTTATTATTAACCTGGAAGATGGAATTGAAGAAGGCCAATCAGAGAAAGCACTGAAGCAAAGCAGCCAGGACCTTGTGCACCTGCTGCTGGGGTCAGTTGGCTCCCTTCACTGAAATGTAGTCCTTGCAAGGAAATGAGTTTTTGATGCAGCAAACTGTTATTGTCCGTCCCCAGCCCCGCCCCAGCCCCCAACGCCACACATCATTATACTCTATGGAGGATGAATCTTTTGTGAAAAGCTGTCACTGTTTTTACTGTTTGAAACCGATAGGTATTAGTCAACTAGCTGCTGACAGTTGAGGCCATTCTCTGAATGCTGAGGCTTCGCTCACTGGTTTATTCACTCGCTGCTCTGCCCCAAACTATTTTTATCAGCATGGATTTTTCCCCATACACACACACCTCTCTCTTTTGCTCTCGCGCTCTCTCTCTCTCTATCTTTCTCTCTCTCATGCACACACACACACACACACCCCTTCCTGTGTTTCTATATGCCCTCTTTCCCTGTTCATCAATTGAGAACCAGCAGTGCTATTTTGGATTTGGGATCTTCTTGCCTGTTTGCAGAGAGAATTAGAACATAAGCCCCCCTCTCTACCTCTTGGATTGATAGAATTATCACCAAGATCAGGTTATATTTCAATGTAAAGAGTCCTAAATGCACACTTGGGGGTCTCTTCTTGTCCTTGTGGGTAAGAGCCTGCTAACTGGCCTGGGACCCAATGGCAGGACTCACCTGTGATCCTGGCCTGTGACGTATACAGCTGTGTGCACTGGGCTCATTGAATTGCCTACCTGATCTAAGTGCAGAGAAATCAAAGGTGATTTTGGCCATTAAAGTCCTTTAGCGTGGTGTTATTCTTCCAAAATTAAAAAAATACCTCCTCTTCATTCTATGTAATTTCCAGTTTCCACTTTGATTGTGTAACTATGTGGGTCTCTTTCATATCATGAACAAAACACAATCTCAAACCAGCATCATCCAGTCATACTGGCCGTTATCATAAACAAATCAAATCAAACACTCATTTAGCAAATACATATGAACAGTTTACTGTGACCTAGTCATTGTTCTGGGTACGGAGATACAATAGCAAAGAGCCTTGCTTGTTTGGAAGTTATTCTGATATGTGTATGGGGAGAGGAGGAAATGTCCAAAAATAAGTGATAAACAAGCAAAAAATATAATGATAAATACTTTGCAAAGAAATGAAGTAATGAAGAAGAAAGAGTGAGAAGACCAGTTTCCATTGGCTAGATGTGGGGAGGACGCCTGAGGAAGTAATGATTAAAACAAGGGCTGAATGATGAGATGGAGAAAATAGAGAGACCAGATAATGCAAATACCTCAAAGGCAGTCTGGGCTTCGCACATTGGAGAAAGGAAATCCGAGCGACTAGAACATGGTGGATTGGGGGAACATGGTGTGAGATTTGGTAAGAGATTACAGGGCCAGATTATGTCTGACTGTGTAAGTTTTGATTTTATTAGCACTAGAAAGAGAAGCCGAAGTGAAGTTTCTAAGTTATGAAGAGAAATAATCTGTTATAACTTTGTGAATGAAAATGGTCAAAAGGAGCAGAGGGAAGCCAGTTAGAGCACTACCAAGTTGAGGAAGAACTCAGAGATGGCAACTCATGGACATGGAGACAAAATAGACAGATATGTGTTATGTTCCAGAGACAGAGACACCAGGATGGGCTGATGGAATGTATGTGTGGCACATGTAGGGCATGACTCCAGGATAAGTCTTAGGTTTTAGTTTTAGTAACTACAGGGATGGCAGTGCCATGTTATGTGGAAGACTGGTCGTAGAGCACAGTTTTGAGTCTAGATATCTAGGAAGAAGTGTAGGCCAGAGATAGATTGGAAAGTCCTGGCATGCAAATGACACATACTGGGGACAAAAGATATGCTGGAAAATGTGTTTTTTTTTTTAAAAAAACTATGTGTTAAGTGTCATGCATGTATGAGTTACCTTCAGTCCCATGTCCCTGTTCCTGCATGAAAAAAAATATATTCCTCTTCCAGTTGTCAAGTACTAATCATTTCAAATGATCTTAATAATCCCTTATGTCTTAAATTTATTATTTTAATATTAGTGAATTAATTATCTATTTTCCTGGGGGCAAGCATGAGTGGAATCACTGCGGGACTTATGATACTGAGGAGAAAGAACAACTCTGAGGAGGTTAATTATTGTGAGGAGAACAGGGACCACCAAGTTCCTTAGTCGCCACTCTCTGCTTGAGTGACATGAAACCTCCAAAACGGGCTTTGATCTTTTCCTACAAACGATCCCCTTCTCCTGGGCTTCTGCACTGACAGCCCTCAGACACGTTCCCTGTGGTTTGACAGCCTTGCATAATGGAACAGAAGTGCTGTGCTAGGAAAAACCAAACTTTCAGCACATACACGCACACACATAAAAGCACTTTGTAGAAACTGGTAACTAGATACATTTTTTTCACAATCTGTTATGAGCAAAATAATGTACCATTCTTCCAGAGCCAGGGAAGAAGCAAAATGTCAAAGAACAGTAGTACCAACAAACAAAAAATAATTTGTAACTCATTTGTTAGGGTTCCATTAATTATGAGTATCACAAACCACCAGCCCCTTCCAAGACCATTTGGTCTAGTAGAGCATGAAACAGGCTGGCCAGTGCTTTGACAGAGTGAAGAGGGAGACGCTGTGGGCAGGGAAGCTACAGTCTGGCAAGCACTAATTCTGAGGCAGTGTTTCTCTTTCTCTTTAAAGATGGTGTCAGCGCTGTGACTGTACCCAGTCCTGCTTTGGAAGAGGCAGCTGAAATCTGTAAAGATGAAGGTAGGAGGTGACTTACTTATCTAAAAATCACAGACTCTTTGAAAAAAGACATTTGGGCTTTATTTATGTGGAAAAATAAAGCAGTGAGCGCTATCTAAGTCTTTTTAAGGCATCTCTGTTTCTAACATAATCAAATATCCTACCCACTCTATTTTATTCTATATTGGGCCTTCTCAGAATTTATGTTTATATTCATTCCACTGAAAAGTAACTGTTTATGAAACAGGAGAATGATCAGAGAAATTAGGTTTCAAGATGTTTATTTGAAACACCAGAATTAGGCAGTTCTACTTACAGTTTTTCACCAGGAATAAGCTTGAAAGAGTGCCATTTGGGAACCATCTACCACAGAGGCTAATATTCAGCTATAATAAGAAAGAAAAAAATGGGACTTCCCTGGTGGCACAGGGGTTAAAGTCTCAGTACTATCAAGCTATTGCCAGCCACTGTGGTATGAGTTCAATCCCCCAGCAGGGAGGTGACCTACATGGCGCAGCAGACCTCTCCTGCCTCACCCACTGCTCCCCTCAGCAGTGTGTTTCAGTAGATGCACCTGTTCTGCACCCCACTTTGTCTCAGGTGAATCCCTGTACCCCCCACACACACACCTCCTGCCTACACCCCAGTTCTTAATAAATCTTTTAAAAAAAGAAAGAAAAGGGCCTCCCCGGTGGCACAGTGGTTGAGCGCTGGGTTGCGAAGCACACCCCCCCCCCCCCCCCCCCCCCCCCCCCGCGGCCTCTGCGGCACCGGTTCGATCCCCGGCTGCTGCTCCCGGGCCACCTGCGAGGGTCCCACATGGCGCGCAGACCTCTCCTGCCACCCGCTGCTCCCCTCAGCAGTGTATTTCGGTCCTTCTGCCTGCTCTGCTCCCTGCTCTGGCTCTGGTGAATTCTCTCACCCTCCTGCGCTTCTGACTGTACCCAGTGCATGTATAAACAAAAACAAACAAACAAACAAATAAATAAATAAATAAATAAAGCATGCCTCTATTAAAAAAAAAAAAAAAAAAAAGAAAGAAAGAAAAATTGTTAAAAAGGCTTCCTTAGAATGACCCAAATATCACCAGAAGAAGAAAACAGTAAAAGAAAATTTCACTTAGGTTCTAGTATAAGTGGAGCTCTGTGGCTTCTTGTTCAGTGGTGCAGCAGACCAGACAATCCTGGCACAGATTAGGTTTCAGGCACCAGTGGGATTTGAGTTTTGAAACTCAACCAGTTTTCAAAACACACCAGCCAGATTTCAACCTGCCCCAGCACCAATCAGATTTTTTTTTAAGATTTTATTTATTTATACAAGAACCGGGTACAGGCCAGACATGTGGGAGGTTGAGAGGATTCCCCAGAGACAGACCGAGGAACAGAACAGGCAGACCAAAATACACTCCTGAGGGGAGCAGCGGGCGAGACAGGAGAGGTCTGCTGCTCCATGTGGGACCCTCGCTGGCCGGCCAGGATCGAATCAGAGCTGCAGAGGCTGAGGACAGCTTCACAGTGCTGCGCTCAGCCACCTGCGCCACCAGGGAGGCTCACCAATCAGATTTTAATACCCACCCCAGTTTTAAAAAAGTGTCAGTCAGGTTAGAACCCGTGTCTATGCTTATTGGGGTTTGAAACCCACACCAGTTTTGAAAATGAGCCAATAAGGTTTAAAATTGTGCCTCAGTAGGGAGCAAGGGGAGGAGCAAAGGGACCCTGAAAGCCATAAAAGGACAAATGGTTTGTGGAAATGGACATCTGATAAACCATGTAATCTACTTGGAAATTTTGCATATACATTTCTTCATATGTTGAATTAATTTCTTCAGTTTGGAGTGAAATGAAAACAGATCCCTGCTTGGAATTGATACTTATTACTCCTTGTATTGGTGTTTAGAAAATCAAAGTGGTCTTAAAATTTTAATAGTTAGCTGTTTGTATCATTCATTCCATTTCATGTTGCTTGGTAAATGGGTTTCTCTAAATGAGGTATCTTGCATTGTGATACGTGTAGTTGATAATATTGTGAATTCTAGGGCCGGATGATTTAGGTATACATCCTGATTTTGCCACTAAAAATATATATAACCCTTGACAAGTAATTCAAGGAATTCATCAGTAATGACAAATAATTAATCTCTTTGTGATTCACTTTTTGCCTCTGTATGATGGAGACAGTAATAGTATCTACCTCACAGAATACAATAGTACATTGTACTATTTATCTAGCACATGTCCAAATTAACTCCCCAGAAAACAGACTGGGGAGTTAATGATGGAGATTAGGGAGCAACATTTTTTTAGAATCAATAATAGTATCTACCTCACAGAATACAATAGTACATTGTACTATTTATCTAGCACATGTAATGTAAAAGGAAGGAAGTGTATCTGGGTAGAGGGAGAAGTGAAGAATTCAAGGCAAGCTACAGCTGGCCTGAGGATTGCAAAGCCCTGCAGTGATGCTCCTCTTAGGGTGAGCTGGTCAAGCTATTAAAACCTCCCATTGATAAGTCACCAGACTGCAGCTGCCTGGAAAGTGGCTGAGGCCTTGGATCAAACAACTCTCTTCCCTTCATTAGGTAATCCAAAAAACTTGAGATAAATGAGGGTTGTAAACAATTTGGAGATAAATGATTCATTACAGAGGAGGATCTGGGTGGGTCAATGTAGCCTGCGCCACATTTGTGTTGGGTGGTCTTTGTCTTGTTTATTGCCACTTTTTCAATGAATCCCATGGCACTTCATTGTTGGTATTAAAATATATGTTCTTCCATCCCATTTGAAATATTTTAAAATGTAACAAATTTAATCATACCTCTATAATAAAAAAAAAAAAGTAATGAATGGCAGATAACCACGTAAGTTCTGATAAGAGCTACCTTAGGTCATTCTAGAGTGAGAAATAAACCTGACCAAGTCAAAGTGAAAATATATTCTAAGCAAATATTCATTCTAAGCAAAAAAAAAAACTTCAGCCACCCCACTTACCTTGTGATGAAAATTTAAAAGTGTCATGAAATCAAATGGCAGAGCTTAAGAAATAGAGAGAATCTAATTTAAGTGCTTCAAGCTGAGATGTTTCCTGTTGAGTTGTTTGGTTTGGAGATATCACACCTTTATAGAAACACACTATTTGTGATGTTGCTCAATGCTTTTAGGATCTCACACCACTAATTGCTCATGCCAGGATCACTTTCTTGGAATACTTTTAGGATTTTTTTTACATAAAACTTTTAATAATGGTAACTCCAGAAAGTTCTGTCGCATATCATAAATGCAGTTCCTGATTAAGACTAAATGTGAAGCTTTATGGATTTTACTGAAATAAATTAATGTCCATTCAACTCTTGATCGAGGGGAGAAGGGTTTTGAAGTATCCATGAACATATGAACCAGTTAAAAACACAACATATATTTTCCTGGTCCCTTATTTAAGTTTTCTAGATTCCTGCTATGAGTGAGACCATCCGGTATTTTTCTTTTTCTTTCTGGCTTATTTCGCTGAGCATGAATAACTATAAGAAAGTGAAAATCAAAATCAACAAAAAACTATGAACCAGAGACACTTTTTGGGGGGTGGGGGATGGGAGGGGAGGGATTGGGGTCAAAATGGGGGGTTGCAATTATATGGGGAATATAAAAATGAAATCTATTATTAAAAAAACACAACATATAGAATATGGTATTTGCCTTTTTGTTCTGAAGTGCCATGCATGTAAGATCACTATTATAATTGATTATCAGCCTAAAGCTTACACCAAACGTCGAACATTTATGGAACTGCCATCTTGACTGATACATAGCTTAGAAAAAGAAAGAAATGAATTTGCCATTGAAATCCTCCAAGATTGAGGTCAAATTGAGGTTAAAAGGCAGTCATATATGTTGAGGATTCATTTCAAATATTCATCATTATTAGCTTTCATGCAGAAATATGTCTCCTCAGTAATATCTTGGCTATTTATGAGTACTGAAATTATAAGATCACTTATAAAAATGCTTATTTAGACTCTCAAGTTTAAGTGGAAGAACATTTCTGTTGACTAAAGGCCTTAGAAACCTCTGCTCTTTTGTCTTTGATGTGAGACTTTGATCCTGGCACAGCATCCTCTTCATGGGTTTTGGAATCACAAAAATATATGGTCCAACCTTTTTTTTTTCTTTTCCAATATAATTCCCCAAGATTTTGGTATTTTTTCCAGCTCAGCTTATTGGTTGGGTGGCTTTAAATTTGTTATGACTTTGTTTCACAGGAAGCTAGTTTCTTCTAGAGTGTAAGAATTGAAAAAAAGCGAAAAATGAGGTAGCTAATATCATTTGGTTTGGGGGTAAGATTTTTAAGAGATTAAAACAGGTATGTCAATGTTGAAGAATTTCAGAAAGGAAGTGCCATCTAAGATGTCTTCCATGAGAGTGATTTTGTCCAAATATTCTAGACATACTTCCCACTGGGTACCAAGTGGGAATGCTTATTACCCCTTTACCCCACATAACTGCTTAACAGTGCAAGCTGCTCACAGAAATTACTACAACTGTCTGGCTTATGCATCAAGAGCTAGATTGTGGGCCTCCCCTGGTGGTACAGGCGGTTGAGCGCAGTGCTGTGAAGCTGTCCACAGCCTTTGCAGTGCCGGTTCGATTCCGGCTGGCAGTCGAGGGTCCTACATGGTGCGGTAGACCTCTCCTGTCATGCCTGCTGCTCCCCTCAGCAGTGTATTTCGTCAGTCTGCCTGTTCTGTTCCCCACTCTGTCTCTGGTGAATCCTCTCACCCTCCCATGCATCTGGCCTGTACCCCAGTTCTTGTATAAATAAATTAATAAATTTTAAAAAAATCTAAAAAAAAAAAAAAGGAGTTAGATTGTGAGCTACAGACTGGAGACACCTGTGCCCAGCAACTCATTACAACCTTCGGGTGGGCAAGAGTTGATTCTGGAGGATGAAATGAAGGAAATGGAATGTCAATGAATAATTCATCCACATGGGGGTGAGGAGGGTGCAATCCAAGAATGCAGCAGCCA